CCCCCCCCGAATCCCCGCCTCTTCCCCAGGCTCACCATTCCTCCTCCCTTCAGCGCTTGTGGAGGGAGGCCCGGGAGACGCAGGGGAAGCGCGGGGCCGGGGAGAGTGAGAGTCCGGCCTGGCCCCAGTGCAGGCAGGACTCAGTCGGGCGGTAGGGAGGAAGCGGCCGATGGCCAAGCTCGGCAGCTGCGGCTCTGGCGCCTGGGCCCGAACCCACCGAGCCCGGGCCTGCTGCGGGGACCCAGCAGCGCGCACGCTGCGCCCAGCCCCGGCCAGTTGCGTCTGGGCTGCTGCCCAGCTGGTGCAATCTCGCGGTGGCCCCAGGGCGGAGGCATTGGCAGCCCAGGCCCGTTCGTTCCCCTGCAGGACCTGAGCGGGACGGGGGGGCTGGGGCCTGCTGCCCGGGCGCCAGAGTCGCAGCCGCCGAGCTTGGCCATCGGCCGCTTCCTTCCCCCGCGGCAGTGGGAGCTGCAGCAGTGGCTGCTCCCGAGTCCCGCTGCCCAGGGGGGGAGAACAGCCGCCACCTGGCCCCACGGGCCGCCCCCCTACTCTCCCTACCGCCTGACTGAGTCCTGCCTGCTCGGGGCCAGGCCGGACTCTCGCTCACCCTGGCCCCACGCTTCCCCTGCGTCTCCCGGGCCTCCCTCCAGTGCTTGTAGAGGAAGGGTGGTTTTTTTGCCCCGCCCCCTCCCGCCAAGCCGCGTCCCGATATTTGACTTGGGTGATCTGGTCACCCTAGGATTACACCTGGCACAAATGACTCCAAATTTGGGTCACTAACCCTACTGTGCTGGGGCACACCAACTATTAAAGAAATCCAACTATGCTTGTCACTTTGAGTACTCAGGAAGGTTGATCTTTAAACAAATGTCATGACCTAACCCTTTACTACAGTAGTGCTGCAGTATCACTATAATGCGAGCTATAATGGTTTTCTTTTAATAAGTGACTCTCCTTCCTAGTGTTTTACTGACGTCTGAAACAAATTCATTTTAATACATTTCCCCACATCTACATACACCATCAGTTTGAGACCCTTGCATAGAAATGAACAAAAATGTATATAAGCTGAGACTGTCATGAAGATATGATCTAGCTCTACGATTCCAAATGTAATGATTAGGAAACAAAAATGCTCCTGTAGTTAAAGCACAAGAATTGATTGCAGATGGTAATACTTTGCTACAAACTCTGGGTGACCATAAGCAAATCACAATCTTGATATACCTGGTTTTCCCCTCTGTGAATAATCCTACCCATCCTAATAACAAACACCCAATTTAATAATACTAATAAATAAAGGGAATAATAGTTTTGGGTTAAAGGATGGGTCTGGGAGGCAGAAGATCGGAGTTTTCTTCCCAGTTTTGCCATTGACTTGCTGTGTGACGCTAGCCTTAGATCAGTGTTTCCCAAACTGGGGTTCGTGAACCCCTGGGGGTTCACGAAATGTTACAGGGGGTTCTCGGGGAAAAATTCCCTAATGGCAGACAGAGCTGTCCCTAGGGACCCTGGGCAGCATGGGAGACTTAACCTTCAAGACTCCTTATAAGAAATGGAAAGGGAGGTGGATATTTTTTGCTGTTTTTGAAATTAAATAGGCAGCTAGTATTATTTTTAAAATTATTATGAAGAACAAATTTAAGCTTTGTTGTAACGTGCGTTGTTTGCCTGGACTGCTCAAGACCTGAATGCTTGTGTAGGAGGAACTCT